TATGAGGAGACCTCCCTGGTCCAAGGATGGCCTAGACCTCATAGTTACAGTGGCGATGACAGCAGTGAATGAGTTGGACAGCTTTGTATTTAGAACACAAATCTATGAAACCAGGTGATGAGAAGGTAAGGATAAAACATTTCTGACTTAAGAAAATGAGAAGCTGGTGGTCCCAGTTACCAAGAAAAACTGGAGAAAAAGTACGTACAGATTAGGGGTGAAGGGTGAGGGTGTTTCTAACATACAGAGATGATTATGAGCCACTTAAGTGGAAATGGGGCTTAGGAAACTGGATACACTTGTCCAGAGCTCAGAAGGGCAGATCTGGAGACAAAACTAAAAAAAAGAAGAAGAAAATTCCCATAACCATTATAGACAACTACTATATTTTTCTCCTTTTCCCCCTTACTTTTAGAAAGTTGTTTTAAACTTTTCACTAAATAACGGAACATAAGAAATGGTTTGTGTTCCTCAATAACTTCACATTTTAGACTGCTTTGAAATATAAAGCAAGTGGGATAATGATACGTTAATCTAGTTTTTCCCACAAACTGAATTTTAGAAAACAGAGCAACATTTAACAGAGCTTATGGTCACCTACCTGGCCACGTCTCTACTTTAAACAGCTCCTCAACTGCGGTCCACTGACTACACTGGCCCACAAATGTGCTACATGTGGCCAACACAGTGCTTTGCTTTTGTTTTTAAATTTGAGTTTGAGCTAGCTAGTTTCACTTGAAAGCCTGGATTTCTAGTTTTTCTTAAACACACAAACACACATAATCCAGCAAATGTAGGCCTCACAGGATGGAAGCACAGATGAACATACTAAACCACACTCTGAGGAAATAATCAGCAAAATCCAGTACAGGGGAGCTGGAAGGAGTGAGACCTCCCTAGATCAAGACAGACTTAAGAGGCATATTAACCTATCATAATGTGAGGACACTATTTAGATTCTGATTTTTATAAAAAAAAATTTTTTTTTTATTTTTAAAAAGTTTAAATCCATTTATGACCAATGGAAATTGAACCTGATTTGGTATTTCATGATATTAAACATTATCCTGTTTTCTGTTAAAATGACATTGTTGTTCGGTCACTCAGTGGTGTCTGACTCTTTGCGATCCCATGGACTGCAGCACCCCAGGCTTCCCTGTCCTTCAGCATCTCCCAGAGTTTGCTCAAACTTGTGTCCATTGAGTCGGTGATGCCATCCAACCATCTCACCCTCTGTCGTCCCCTTCTCCTCCTGCCTTCAATCTTTCCTAGCATCAGCATCTTCTCCAGTTAAGTCAGTTCTTCTCATCAAGTGGCCAAAGTGGAGCTTCAGTCTCAGCATCAGTCCCTCCAATGAATATTCAGAATTGATTTCCTTAGGATTGACTGGTTTGATCTCCTTGCAGTCCAAGGGACTCTCAAGAGTCTTCTGAAACACCAGAGTTCAAAAGCATCCATTCTTCGGTGCTCAGCCTTCTTTATGGTCCAACTCTCACATCCATACATGACTACTGGAAAAACCACAGCTTTGACTAGACGGACCTTTGTTGGCAAAGTAATGTCTCTGCTTTTTAATATGCTCTCTAGGTTGGTCATAGCTCTTCTTCCAAGGAGCAAGTGTCTTTTAATTTCATGGGTGCAGTTACCATCTGCAGTGATTTTGGAGCCCTAGAAAAAATCTGTCACTGTTTCCATTTTTTCCACAACTATTTGCCATGAAGTGATGGGACCGGGTGCCATGATCTTAGTTTTTGAATGTTGAGTTTTAAGCCAGCTTTTTCACGCTCCTCTTTTACTTTCATCAAGAGGCTCTTTAGTTCCTCTTCGCTTTCAAGCATAAGGGTATCATCTGATACTGCAGTTACGTTTTTAAGAGTCCCTATTTCTTGTAGGTACATACTGAAACATATACTGAAACATTTATGGATTTTAAGGATCAAACAATATGATGACTTTGATTCACTTGAAAATAATATGAGAAGGACAAATGTTGGCACAATATGTAGAAAGCAGACCCCTTACAAATTGCTGGTATGACTGCAAAATGGTACAGTTGCTTTAGAAAGTACTTTGGCAGTTTCTTTTTTTTTTTCCTTTGGCAGTTTCTTAAAAAGTTAAATATACCATGAAAAAAAAAAGTGAAAGTGTTAGTCGCTCAGTCGTGCCTAACTCTTTTGTGACCCCATGGACTGTAGCCCGCCAGGCTCCTCTGTCCATGGGATTTCCCAGGCAAGAACACTGGAGTGGGGTGCCATTGCCTTCTCCAGGGAATGCACTGCAGGCAGATTCTTTCCCTTCTGAGCCACCAGGGACGCCCAAAGAATACTGGAACAGGTTGCCATTTCTTACTCCAGGGGATCTTCCCAACCCAGGGATCAAATCCATGTCTCTTGTGTCTCCTGCATTAGCAGGTAGGTTCTTTACCATCTGAGCCACCCGGGAAGCTATCTACCATATGACCCAACAATTCTACTCCACTCCTAGCTATCACCCCCCAAAATGAAAACATACGTTTCCCAAAGACTTGCATGTGAATGTTTGCAGCAATATTACAACAGCCAAAAATGGAAACCCAAACGTCCAAATGTCACTGGTAAATGGCTGAGCATAGGTGATATATTCATACAATGAAAAAGTATTTGGCCATTAAAAGGAATGAATTACTAATACACAGTACAACATGGATGAACCTCAATAAAATAAGTAAAAGAAGCCAGACAAAAAGGACCATATACTGTGTGATTCCATTTATATGAAACACTCAGAAAGGGCAAATCTATAGACACAAAGTAGATTAGTGGTTGTCTGGGGCCGGAGGTCAGACTAGGAATTAACTGTAAACCAACAAAAGGGATCTTACATGGGTGATGGAAATGTTCTATGGCTGGATTGTGGTGACAGCTGCATAACTCAGTAAATTTACCAACAATCACTGAATTGTACATTTACAATGTATGAATTTTAATGTATATAAACTATGCCTCAAGAGTTACCAAAAGTTAAGGAATCTAAAACACAAAAGACAAGGAATTTGAGAAGACTAGAAGAATAATGGAAAATGTAACATGGAATGAGAAAACTGAATAAAGAATGAAAGGGGGACTTCTCTGGTGACCTGGTGGTTGAAACTCTGCCTTGTGGTGAAGGGGATGTTGGTTCAATCATGGTTAGGGAACTGACAACCCCACTTGCTTCAACTAAGACCAGAGGCAGCCACATAAGTAAACACATTACACAGGAAAAAAAAGATTTGTTTTCTAGTTAAAAAATAAAGAATGCAAGTGAGAAGGGATGCATGTGGGGATAGGGCAGAATTAGTCATTGGTTAATGGTTACAGCCACATGGGAATTCACGAAACTATTCTGCCTATTTTGGTGTATGGTTGAAATTCTCTCTCTCAATCTCAAGCAAAATAAGACAATCTAACGTTGCTGCTCTGACAGGCTCCCTTCAGGTGACTCTACTTTCTTGGGCAAAATGTCAGACTGATTAAGACAAGAGAAACAAGTACAGTATTGATTATGAAATGGGCACCAAGTATTTCAGAAAACAAAGATGAAAAACATTAAGCAATGTAGCACAATATGGAGAAATCAATCACCAGAATTACACCAATTCAGGTTGCTTCTCCCATTGAGGGTAGTATACTTTTCCTTCTATATCAACATTGTCAATATTTACCTAATGATGCTGGCTATCTGACATTTTAATTCTAGACATGCCCAAAGCCAAGAGACATGGTTTAGTGTATCCATGGTTCAGTATTAGTTTTGGCTCGCATTTATAAGCTACAAAAACTCGGTTACCTGACTTCACCTAAGACTCAAGATTCTAAACTATAAAGTGAAAGAATTTTAGGAGTTCGTCACTTGGAGTCACAGGCGTGGGGACTAAGGCCTATGGATAAGCTTCAGCAGGATTACAAAGCCCTATAAATTCCAAGAAGTTCTGCCTACATTTCTACCTGCATTTTCTGGGAAGAGATTCAATATCTTTCCACATATTCTCAAAAGGAGCCAAGACTCACTTCTCTCCCTGCAGGTGACAACCATTTTAATCAGGATAATTTTTATTTACAAATAACAGTATGGGTCTAGACAAGTTTTTTTAATCCAGATTCTGTATTCTTTAAACTCTACAGTCACAAAATACATTGCTTTGTTAATGTACTGGGTTTTAATAAGACAAACTTTCTCACTGCTCAAACCTCACTCTGCTAAGAATACCTTACAGAATGAAAATAATGTACAAGGTTTTGGGTCACAACGATTTATTTTTCCTGGTCTCATATAGTAACCAGCTAAATCACGTGGAGGCATGTTTTGAGTTAAAAAACAGGATACAAAGGGTTCATTCTAGGCCTATTGTAAATTTCTTCCCTAGACAGACAATGACAGAAGCGAGGGCTAAAAGGGGCTTCTAATCAAAAACATATTTTCATTACTGGGCTTAAATTTCCGGTAATGGATTTCAAGCGAGATTTGAAATTCCTCCTGGAGATGCTCGCTTTGCTCAGGCCAGAGACCGCCAAGCCCACCAGGGAAACTGAGGCAAAGGTTCCGCGCACCTTCCAACCGCCAGGCACCAGGGGGATGGACGAAAGGAGACAGCGGACGAGCGAAGTCGGGGGTAGAAGTTGGAGATAAAAGGGAGGAGGAAGATCAAGTTGCTCTCGGCAAGGAAGACAGGGAAGCCAACAGGACTGCAAGCACAGCCTCCTGAGAGTCCTTCGGGGTTACGCCGCAGTTCAGCCCCTTCCCCTCTCGAATCTTCCTACCCTTTCCAGACCGACCGAGGACTCCCGCCATTCCCACAGTTCCCAACAGACCCCTCTAGAAGGGAGGCCGCGCCTGGGAATAGAGGCGGGAACCCAAACGCTCACAGACAACCCCCCACCCCCACCCCCGCTCCCCCTGGGCCAAAAGTTGCCCCCAGCATCAGGGAGCGGCCTCCGCCTCTGTCCCCCGCCCTGGTCTTGCAGGGCCCTGGTCGCCCTTACCTTGAGCGCCAGGTGGTGGACGCGGCCCAGGCCGGGCGCGGCCAGCAGCTGCAGCAGCCCCAACACTGGGAATAGCTGGAGGCCGGCGGCTAGCCGAGGACTGCGGGAGCCCGAAAGGCCGACGGGCGCCGGGGCGGCCATGTTTGTTCCAGCATCACCAGCTGCTTCCTCTCCCGCCCACTTCCGGGGTTAAGGGGCGGTGGCTGCCGGAAGCGCCTGAAAGGGTGCTGTCTGCGGCCAGCGGCGGGGAGACTGTGGCCTTTTTCCTGGAGCTTGCGGTCCTGGGAGTGGGGTTGGTACACTTCGGGCCGTTCAGTTGGCCTCTGCTGTGAGGACTTTTCGGTTTAGTCAGAAGAGGTGCGCCCGCAGTGGGTAGCCGGTGGCGATTGCCATGGTAACAGTCGCTGGGCTGGACCAACCCCGGCGTTGTCTCCGCCCCGCGGAGCTTTGAAAGGGACCTTGGGCCGGCGCGACCATCCGCCACCGAGGGACCTGGCGTTCCTGAGCGGGGAATGCCTCCTTGGTGCCTGGCGGTTGATAGGACCGATTTCCCCGAGCAGCCGTAACTCCGTAGAAAAACTAAATTCGTGGCTTGTCATCAGTCCTTGGGTGTTTTGTTGTTGTTGTTCTTGGTTTTTGAGGCACTTCACACAAATTTTTGATGAGGTAGTTTTAGTAATTTATTGAGCCTTTACGAGGTACTTCTTCCCCAGTGCCTCAGCGGTAAAGAATTCACCTGCGGTGCAGGAGACACAGAGACTGTGGTTCCATCCCTGGGTTGGGAAGATCCCCTGGAGGAGGAAATGGCAACTTACTCCAGTATTCTTGTCTGGGAAATCCTATGGACAGAAAGGAGCCTATCCTTGGGGTTGCAAAAGAATCGGACACAACTGAGCGACTAAACAAGGACAACGTATCAGGCACTTCGTTGAGCCTTTTGGGTGCATTTTTGCATGTAATCCTTGAAACAGTCTGATGAAATAGGAGGTAGGTGTAAGTATTACTTCCCCCCACCCCCCACCCCCCACTTTACTGGTAAGCAAACTGAAACTCTGAGAGATTGTCATTTGTTCCAGGTTGAAGTGGGAGTCACGTGGAAAAATACTGTTATATCGCTTCATGCTATTTCATCCAACCACTAGAGTATGAATCTCTTAATCCTGTGTGGAAACTTTCCTTGCTTCTAATCTTTCGAATTTGTAGAGAGACTTTTAATGAAAGAATTCAGTAGTTTGTTCCCTCCAAATCGCTGTTTTTATCATGGAGTTATAAAAAAGATATACTTATTAAAATTACCAATAGACTAGCTAGGTTTATTTAGTTTTTAGGTGTTTTTTGTTTTGTTTTTTTTTGGCTTGCCACACAAGGCATGCTGTTTGTGGGCAATCATTTAAACAAAAGAGAAGAAAATAAAAACCACAAGGAATTCCCCAGTACTGCACGACTATCAGTGTTTTATGACACAATCAGATTTCTAATGTTTTTAACTGGAACTAGGAACTGAAGTTAACATGATATATCTGAATGAAAATAAAGTGAATAAAGTGCTACACTCAGGTTAAAAAAAATCAGGAGGGAAAGTACAGAATAGAGGAGTGAGAGTCCCAGATCTTTTAGCTGTGTGATCTCAGTCAAAGTCATGAATCTATGAATTCTTGAAAATGAAAGTGGCTCAGTTGGGTTGTCTGTGGAATTCTCCAGGCCAAAATACTGGAGTGGGTAGCCTTTCCCTTCTCCAGGGGATCTTCCCAAGCCAGGTCTCCTGCATTACAGGCAGATTCTTAACCAGCTGAACCTCAACAGAAGTCCAAGAATACTGGAGTAGGTAGCCTATCCCTTCTCCAGCAGATCTTCCCGACCCAAGAATCCAGCTGGGGTGTCCTGCATTGCTGGCAGGTCAAAAACTAGTACAGGTTCTGTCACACCCTCTGTAAGAACAAAAGTAGGGCACCAAGGTGTACCCAGGCATATAGAAAGGCAGTGTTTACTAGTTGGTGGTTTAACTTCTTTCTCCAACCTTTTATTTTAGCCATGTGTTATGACTATGTCATCTTCTTTGAACAAAATTCTCATCTGATCTTACTACACAATTTTACAGATGAAGAAACTTAGAACAAGAAACTTTATTGTCTTGGAAATCCACAAATGAGATAATAGTTAATCTATTTATTAAGCAGTTAAGTTTGCCAAATATTCTGCTAAGTACTTTATATGTTGTTGTTCAGTCACTAAGTCATGTCCTACCCTTTGTGATCCCGTGGACTGCAGCACACCAGGCTCCTCTGTCCACCACTATCTTCCAGAGTTTGCTCAAATTGTGTCAGATGCTGTCTAACACATCTCACCCTCTACTACACCCTTCTCCTTTTGCCTTCAGTCTTCCCCAGCATCAGGGTCTTTGTGCACATTATCTCATTGAAGACCACAAAATCTTTGAATGGTCTATATTTTTGTTCCTTTCTTAAAGAAAAGATTTGGTTAGAAAAATTTATTCAACGGTGGTCTGATCATTTATAAATGACTCTCATCCAGGCCTTGCCCACAAAGCCCAGCATTTAATCCTTATCCTGCAATTGTTATAAAAAAATTAATCTCATAAGAGGTTGGAAGTGTCCTTAGAAAATCAACAAATCCTTTCACCTTATTAACAGATGTGAAAACAAATCCAAGGAACTCAAAAATGATTTGCTGAGGGTCACACAAGTACTTAGGTAATTTTGGGCAAGCATCCAGGACTGGACCTCCTCTGCTTTAAAACTGGCTCTGTGCTTCTTGGCACACTATATCACACATGGCATTCTGATTATTAAAATTTTATTTATTTTTTAATTCTTTTAAATTTTCAAAAAATTAAGTCCCAGAATCTGAGTAGCCAGTATCTTATCAAGCAAAATTCAAGAGAAATATTCAGAAAGCATTTTAAAAATCAGCAATATGAAAGAAGATGGAAGAAATAAAAAATAATTGATACTTTCTTTTAGGTAAGAGGAAAAACCAAAGACAGTCAACTGATCCTCACTTCAGTATCAAACTACTTGTCAAAAGAAATGGGGATTTTTAACTGCCGTTTCCCTTTTCTTATGGAGGCTTCCTAGGTGGCTCTGTGGTAAAGAATCCACCTGCCAGTGCAGGAGATGCGGATTTGATCCCTGGGTTGGGAAGATCCCCTGGAGGAGGAAATGGCAACCCACTCTTGTATTCTTGCCTGAAGAATCCCACGAACAGAGGAGCCTGGCGGGCTACAGTCCATGAGGTCACAAAGAGTCAGATACAACTGAGCACGCACACGCTTCATTTTTAAAGGCAATCTGAAATGTTTTGGATCCTTATTGTATACTTTTTAAAGTGAGGTACCATTTTTGAGAATCTCTGGTTTTAAATTTGAAAATAATAGACTTCTAAAAACAGATTGATCAGGAAGAATCTTAATTTTATATTAGAATAACTAGTTTATAAAATAGGAGACCTTTGTCTTTTAGTCTCTGGAAAACAGTTTTACAAGGGCTCAAAGCTGGGTTTTTATACCTTGCTCCTTTTCACTTGGGAATTATTATGTGACTTTCACAGGGTCACATACCAGTGGCATCTGTCCATAAGTTTATGAGAAATAGCTTCTTCAGGTTTTTGAGAACTATATTATGCCAGTCATTAGTTTGCAACTGAGAGATTTGAGCAAACTCCAAGAGTTGGTGAAGGACAGGGAAGCCTGGCATGCTGCAGTCCATGGGGTCGAAGTCAGATACAACTTAGCAACTGAACAACAAAAGAAAGGGAACACAAATTACAAAGACTTAAAGTGAAGTATGCTTTTGAACTATATTGTTGAAGAAGACTCTTGAGAGTCTCTTGGACAGCGAAGAGATCCAACCAGTCCATCCTAAAGGAAATCAGTCTTGAATATTCATTGGAAGGACTGATGCTGAAATTGAAACTCCAGTACTTTGGCAACCTGATGCAAAGAACTGACTCATTTGAAAAGACCCTGATGCTGGGAAAGATTGAAGGTGGGAGGAGAAGGGGACCACAGAGGATGAGAAGGTTGGGTGGTATCACTGACTCAATGGACATGAGTTTGAATAAACTCCAGGAGTTGGTGATGGACAGGGAGGCCTGGCGTGCTGCAGTCCATATGGAGTTGCAGAGTCGGACACGACTGAGCAGCTGGACTGAACTGAAAGTGAAGGGTGTTTTAGACAGTTATTTCTCAAATTCTGTGAAAATGATATCTTGGCAATTTTACTTAGGCACATAATTCCAGAGTTTCAAGAGCAGATTATTTGCATAATCATGATACTGTAACTGGGAACAAACCTGTTGAGTAACAGAACAAGTTAGGTTTGCCTCTCCCTGGCAACATTTTCAAAGGGGCATTAAACTTTAAGGTACTGACTGAAAAAGCCTTGAGGGGCTGGAAAGACTATCCTAAACCTGACTTTTAGCCTTACCCTCTTAGTCAAGTGGGTCTTATTTTTCTGTTTCCTCTAATATTGCAAGATCTACTGAAGTTTGCCACTAGTAGCAGAATTTGGAGTTTGAATCTAGTGTGATTAATAATGTTTGACATCAGATTAGAAATTTCCAGAGATGTTTAATGTAATTATGGGATTAATATTCTCCAGTTATGATTGTTGCTTGTCTCTTATTGAAAGAGATGACATTTCCGATCAAAGTTCTGTATAAACACAGTACAGGGAACCAGAGGTCAAACTAGAGCTTGGCAATATATTCAGAAGTCAAATGTCACTTTCATTCTTTGACTTGAAATGTCATTTCTTGGGGCTTGGGGGATGCCCACAGACTCCTTGCAGAGTCATCTTCTTGGAAAAGCTAGCCCCTGACACATCTTGAATCCTGCAGGTTGGAGAAAAACTTCCAGTCCACTTCTCTTCAATTTGGTGGCACAGTGTGTAACTTGCTCAGCCATGGACAACTGTTTTTTCCTGATTTTATGCACATCTTTATAGACCTACAGGGGAATTCCATTATTGAGTACAAAAATTGGTTGCAGTCTTAAGATTCTACTCACGACAGAGTTCTCCTTTTATCCCACTCCAACTTTTTCCACTCCACTGCTTTCTTGGGTCCTTAGTAAGTGGTTTGAATGCTAAACAAATGGAGAATTTTAAGCTGGAAACTGATGGAAGCTATTTTAAAGGGGAAAAAAAATCCTGAGAATTTCATTAAGAAGAGTACTTCAGTGATAGACAACCAATCAATGGTAGTTCAGGCAATCTGTTTTGCTGCATCAGCAGTGCTTAAAGGATTGCTTTCCTTGATAGAAGAAGTAAAAATCCTCCAAAAAATAAGAGGAAAGAATAGGGAACCAATACTGTGCCCCCATGTGCTAAGCATTTTACGTGTGTTCTTTCTTTTCATCTTTGCAGTAACTTTTCAAGCAAAGCGTTATGTCCATTTTATGGAGGAGGAAACTGAGGCCTAGAGAAGGGAAATAATTCAACCAAAGCTTTCTGTGCGGGGCCATCCACTCTGTGCTCACTGCTAGCTCCCTTCTTTCAGCTTCACAACAACCTTGGAGATCCATGTTTTAAGTGAAGTTCTGAGAGTTTAAGTAACTTGTCTAAGGCCACATACCTAATAAGTAGTGAAACACTTGGATCCCAATGGAACAATTACAAAACCATTTAGTTTATTAAAAAGCAGAGCGATCACTTTGCTGACAAAGGTCCATATAGTCAAAGCTATGATTTTTCCAGTAGTCATGTATGGATGTGAAAGTTGGACCAGAAGGTTGAGCACCAAAGAATTGATGCTTTTGAACTGTCGTGCTGAAGATCTTGAGAGTCCCTTGGACAGCAAGGAGATCAAACCAGTCAATCCTAAAGGAAATCAACCCTGAACATTCATTGGAAGGACTAATGCTGAAGCTCCAATACTTTTCCAACTCATTGGAAAAGACCCTGATGCTGGGAAAGATTGAGGGAGGAGGAGAAAGGGGCAACAGACGATGAGATGGTGTCATCAACTCAGTGGATGGCATCATCAACTCAATGGACATGAGTTTGATAATACTCTGGGAGATAGTCAAGGACAGGGAAGCCTGGCTTGCTGAAGTCCATGGGATCGCAAAGAGTTGGACATGACTTAGTAACTGAACAACAAGGAAGCCTTTTAAATAGATTAGATAGTGATATCTCTATATCTAAGCCCCTGAATCAGATGTTTATACTAGCAAGACACATTGGAGTTGCTGACTCTATTAGAATTGTTTACCTCTAACTCCATGACAACTATACAGAGTCTGTATTTTCTAGATACCTTATTTCAGTGCTAATAACATCCATGTGATCAGATTATTCAGTGGAAATTTATGTAGTCACCTGCCAAGATCATAACGTTGTAAATCAGTATTCTCCACGTGTTCCTAAAAGGTGAAACAGGTGTATATAGTGCAAACTGATCCCCTAGATAATTTAGAGTCCCTTGGAGAGCAAGGAGATCCAACCAGTCCATGCTAAAGGAAATCGGTCCTGAATATTCATTGGAAGGACTGATGGTGAAGCTGAAACTCCAATACTTTGGCCACCTGATGCGAAGACCTGACTCACTGGAAAAGACTCTGATGCTGGGAAAGATTGAAGGCAGGAGGAGAAGGGGACGACAGAGGATGAGATGGTTAGGTGGCATCACCAACTCAATGGACATGAGTTTGAGTAAACTATGGGAGTTGGTGATGGACAGAGAGGTCTGGCATGCTGCAGTCCATGGGGTTGCAAGGAGTCGGACACGACTGCGGGGCTGAACTGAACTGAACTGAGGTCATTATCAGTATTTACATAGGTGGGGTTTACAATTGTTTAGGCATTAAATCATGTCCTGCTCTCCTGCAGCCCCATGGACTGTAGCCCCCCAGGCTCCTCTGTCCATGGGATTTTCCAGGCAAGAATACTGGAATGGGTTGCCATTTCCTCCTCCAGGGGATCTTCCTGACCCAGGGATCAAACCCTCGTCTCCTGCATTGGCAAATGGATTCTTTACTACTGAGCCAGTGGGGAAGCTACAGGATTTACAATACCTCTTGTGAAAACTGATTCCTAAGTAGGTTAGTTACAGTGACTTGTTAATAGAAGTTCTGTTAAACTCACTCCCTTTTACTGTAAGGGAAACGGAAATGGATTTAGTTCCTTCTGAAAAATACTGTGCTGTATTTAATCTTTTACTTTACTAGCTTATTTCTTTTTATGCTGAATCCTGTTTGTTTCCATTGCTTTAAAATCAGTGGTGAGTTTTTCTTTTATTTCTTGGCGATTCTGATACCTTCAACCCTTTTTTTTTCAGTTACCACCAGACTTAAATGAAGTTAAAGGTATTTGCAGTGTGGTCTAATTAACCCAGTTCCATACAGTACTGCTGCTGTGGCTTTTAATGGGTTCCTATAACTGTTTCCTGCTTACTCATCTTAAAAGGTTTCCTTTTAATGTGGTCTCTCTCTCTTGCTCTTTGTCCCCCCTTTCTGTCTTTAGAGCTGCAGGTTGTTTTTCCTCCTGATTAGCATCTTTTCACAAGTCACCGTTTTTGAGAAGTCTTCTAGAAGGCAGTCAAGATTAGATCACTGTGTTTGAAAAAATAGTAAATCTTGGCAGGAAGAAATTGAGGTGATTTGTGAGGCACGGTCCTGTTAGATTACCTGCATTTCACTCAGCATTTCCAAATAGCAAACTAAACTGTGCAGTATTGATCGAGTTTCTGACCTCTCCACCTCAATGAAGCTGTTAATGAATGTACCTTGGGAGCTAAGTGGCTGGCTGTTCTGATGGTTTCAGGTCTAGCGGGATTGGAGTACAGAGTTTCCAGACCGGGTAACTGAGAACAAAATATTTAAAACACACACTAAAAACAAACTGATGGAAGGAATTCCTTACTGAAAAAAGACAGACCAAAACAGGTTTGACAGTTTAAATTTATTGTAATCCTGTCCAACAAAGGAAGTAGACTTGGTTTATCTGCGAGAGCAGAACACCATCCTTGCTCCACCCTGTCTTGGAGAAGAATGATAAGATGGTTGAGGCTGGGTGTAGTGGGATTAGAGAGACAGGCAGCTGAAATACTTCTTAAATGGGGCCCATTTTAGGAGTTCACAGATAGTCAGAAAAGTCAGTAGGATTAGCTGAGGAAGAAAGAAAAGTTGGGGGAGAAAGGGTCTAGTGATTCAGAGGAAGGAGTCAGAATCCAGACAGTTCTCCAGTCCCAATCCTGGAATCGGGCTTCCCGGTGGCTCAGACAGTGAAGAATCCGCCTGCAATTCACAAGACCCCGATGGATCCCTGGGTGGGGAAGATCCCCCGGAGAAGGAAATGGCACCCCGCTCCAGTATTCTTGCCTGGAGAATTCCACGAACAAAGGAACCTGGTGGGTCACAGTCCATGGGGTCGCAAAGAGTGGGACACGACTGAGCAACACACACACACACAATCCCGGAATGTTATTTGTGTATACTCGGGGAGTGCAGGGAAAAAGGAGTCCGTATCTACTTAAAAATTAGTTCTCAGTTTACCAACCACTGGCCGGGTAACAGGTGGTCGTCTCCTCTCGCTGAGCTGAGTAGTTAGTTACTGCCTCCCTTTGGCGGGAGGTGGGGGAGAAAGCTCTGAGCTTCTACAGAGGTGGAGGCCTTGTTCTAGGCCACCCAGCTAGTGAGTGCGGGTGGCGGGACTGGAGACAGAAACGCGGATCTGTGGACCCAGCGCCTTTGCTTTTTTCACCCACTACGCGGCAACGTGATTTCAACGTCTGAGAGTTTCTTGGCCGAAGAAGTCGGAAATCACCGGTTTCAGAGATTAGAAATCACCGGTTGTGAGCCCCTGGACTCCTTTCCCCAGCCACTCTGCTAGGTCGCGCTCGGCCTCTGAGTCCTTCTGTGTGTGCAGTACACCACACCTGGCCCCACGCCCACCGCGCAAGTCTGCGAAAGCCGCTCGGGCCTCCAAGGCGGTGGGGAAAAAGACCCGCTCGAGCGAGCTCCGATGGCTGAGCAACAAAAAGCATGGTCCTTAAATTCAAAGCGGCGTTCGGCGCAGGGGAGCAAACTCAGGCCTCGGCAGAGCCCCAGTAATAACAGGGGCCGGCTCCGTTCGGAGGCGAGTGGTTTGTCCCTAAGAGCAGAGAGTGGTGCTGCTAATAAGAAAAAAAAAAAAGATCGGCAGCGGGGAAGCCGGCGGCTCCAAGTCCCACCAGGGCCCCCTGCTTTCTGCAAGTCCTTCCGGACCCCCCGGCCACGCGGGCGGGGGACCGAGGCGGGGGGCGGGGGGCGCCGGGGGGGAGGTTGGGCTGGGGGCGGGGCGCGCGCGTGCGCGAGCTGTCAGGCCGGCCCCGCCCCCAGCGCGCAGCCCCGCCCCGCCCCGCCCCTCCCCCGCCCCTCGCTCTCGGGTGTGGGGCGGGCGGGCGCTGCGGCGACCGCGGCTGCTGCTTCCTTGGGCCATTTTGCCGAGGAACGACCGGGGAGGAGGAGCGCCGCGGAGACCCTAGGCGAGGAGCAGTGAGCCGGAGGAGGCGGCGGCCGCACGGGGCACGGGCTTTCCTCGATTGCGGGGATCTCCCGGGGAGACGGGATCGCCGGGGAGGGGGACCGGAGAGCCGCGCCCCGCCGCGCGGCGCGCCCCTTCCCGCCCCCTGCACCATGAGCTGGGGCATTGAGCTCTGGGTGAGTGAGGGGCCGGGCCCGCTAGGATGCAGGGAGGTTGGGGGAAAGGTGCCTTGCGCGCCTGGGCTGGGGGACACGGGCCGGGCTGCCCCCGGTGGGCGAGATCGCGCGCCTGTCGGTGGTCTCGGCGGCCCTGGCGGGAGGTGCAGGTCCGGATGCCTCTCGTTGGCCTCGGCTTGAGCGGGAGGTGCGCGCCAGATTCGCCCTCCCGAGGTGAGGGGGCGCTGGAGTGAACCGCCACCACCCCTCCTCCGGCGGCCAGAGCAAGGGCCGCTGGTGTGGGTCCCCCCAGCGGCCCGAGCGCGGGGCGCAGATCTGGGTCCCTGCACCTCCCGATCAGAGGCGCGGGCGGGACCCCCCTCTCCTTAGCGCGGCGGGCCGACTCAGTGGGGGCGTGGAAGGCCGGGGATTTTCAGGGCTGCGTTAGGTATTCGGGGCCCAGACCCGCCGTCCTCTGCTCTCTGTCCAAGGAGGTGCGGGTGGGTCGGGCGCTCTCCCGGGGGGCGGGGCGGCCCTGGCGGGGCCGCGTCCCAGGGCTTGGGTTTGGGGTTGCAGGGGTGAGTGAGAACTGGTGTCTTCCCTCTAGTGGCGAGGACGTTTGCCCTGTGGTGGTTTGGGGTGCGCTTGTGATTCTCCCAGGGGCAACTTAGATCTTGGATTTGATGTGGGTATTGCGGCGTTCGGCCTGGAGGGGAGAGTAGTAGGAGTTAGAGGGGCGCCTTGTGTTGCCGCCTGCGGGAAGAGACGTTAGCGGGGTCAGTTTTGTATTTTTTAATCGCTGGGAGGAAAGAGTCTGAAATGCGGTAGGGAGCGCCCCGCCGGGATGTTTAACGCGGGACGCGGATGGATAAACAAGCGGCGTGGTGTCTGCAAGCTGCTCTCTCCCCGGACCCGGATGCCAAGGCAATGCACTGGCGGTCCTGGGGAGGAGAGGCTGTGGCTTGTGGACTGGGGCTTGTTTTCCTCTGGATTCCTTGCTTCCTCTGGATTTCTAAGGAGATCTCTGGGCAAGCGATGGGCAGAGCGGAGTGCAGAGGAAGAAGGAGATGAAATCTCAATTATTGCACCGAGACGTCCTCAAGATGAGACATTTCCCAGGAGGAACTCGAAAGTGCCTCCTTTCGGAATTCCATTTGTAAAGGGTGTGGAGAAGAAAGTGTGGGATGGTGGTTGCTATCTGAGTGGAGGCCAAGAAATCTCACGTCAAAATAAAAGAAGGTTAGAGCAGCTATAGAAACGGAGGGCATCCTCCCTTAATTAATTTTTTTTTGCTTTAATTGTTTTTACATAACCACTTCTTAGGCTCAGAAGCAGCTACTGTTATTGATACCAAAATTCTGAAGGCAGTAGTTCCCTTAAATGATAATTCATTTTGTAAACATCCTCTGTCTAAAAGGATCTCAAATTTTTGACTGATGTTTACAAATATTCATTCTTAAAGTAGCAGATGGTCGTAAGTATTTATACACAGCCAGTTAGGCAGAGTCTACCATTTTAAGTGTTGGATTTCATTCCTCTTCCATTCCCTCTGCACTCCCTTTGCCTCTTTTTACCCTATCTGGGGGAACGAATCAGAATAAATTTTTATCAACAGAATAGAAATTTTGGCACAATTTTTATTTTCACTTGTTCAAACAAGAGAAGGGGTTTATTGGGAGGGGGGAATACAATGTATTTCCAAGTGAAATAGGCTGTAGTTTAGGGATTGAACACCATGGTGGCCATTTCATGGTGATGTTGGTGAATGTTACAGAAGGTGATCCAGAAAGGGATGGGCAGAGGGATAGTTATGAGGAACCACCAGCTAAAATAGCTGCAATCCCCTGTGTTATTCTGTGCACTTCTTTTGGCAGGTGGAGGGTGGAAAGGAAGGCAAAGACAAGTTGTTGAAAATCAGTAGGAACTGGAATATATACAAGTAAAAGGAAACCTTAGATTTGCTTCAGAAGAGTTTGGGGTGGTAGTAGATGGGAATGTGGATGAAATGAAATTGCTGAAGAGCTGGTCACTGCTAACCTGGGTGAGGGGTACAGGAGCCCTTGTGATACTAGGCTTTCTACTCTCTAGGATTGAAATTTCCTACAGTGAAAATAATTGGAAAAGATTTTTAAGGGAGAAGGTGTGTAAAATACTTGAAATTTTTTCTCACTTGTTAAGGTTTACAAGAAAGAACTAGTTATCTGTTGTTTCTAGGAAGGACCTGTCCATGAAGAGTTAAAAAAAGAAAAGAAAAAGGCATTCTACTACAGTATCGCCCTTTGCCCTTGAGTGGCTTAGAGGTTAATAGAGGGAAAAGAATGGAACTTGTAATTTGTACTAAGAGAAGTGCAAAATCTGAGTTTAAATTCCAAGAAGCATAAGGGCACCAAAATGTCTGTTTTCAGTTGCCTCATTTCATTAAAATTTGAGATTAAAAAAGAAATTAAAAAAACAAAAAGAAGAAAAATGTGAAATTAAAAAATGAAGAATTCTGAAAAATGAACCTCCAGTTCTCTGGTGGTGAGCGACTCCGTGGTGTGGTGCGTGGGGCCGCCTGACAGAGCCCTGATTGAGGGTTTTCCCTGAATGGTGGCTGTGGGATCTTGCACAGGGGTAATGAGATAATGACAGGGCACTCAAGCCTAACTTGGCAGAATGATGCTTCTAGATGGAGAGAGATGGAGCTCTGGTTTGGATGGCCATGAGTTCTTTGCGACAGGTCTTTGCAGCTTTCACAGACCTTTGCAAACGCAAACGTTTTAGGACGCTGGTCAACGTCCCTGTAGGCTTTTCAAAAGGACATGTTTCTAACGTGCACTTTACATTAAAGTTCTGTTCTTAGCCACATCCTGCTTTGTAGAAAGTAAAACCGTTCTCTTCTCTTTTTTCTTTTAACCTCTTCATCGGCATGAATTTTGACATTCCTGATTGTGAGAAATCAGGAAATGTCAGGAAGTTCTCAGGCAATCATAAAAATGAACTCAAAACCCATAATTTGTAATAACTTTACTAGGTTTTGTGAAAATTGGGGCTTTCTATTTTATATCAGTAGGTCGTAACAAAGTATAAAATGGCTGATTTGAAGTGATGGGGTCATTACAGAGTATTGAGCAGATGGGAATAGAATGTAAAAAAGAGTGGATATATCAGTTTATATATGTATGACCAGATTCACTTTGCTGCACAGCAGACCCTAACACAATATTGTAAATCAACTATACTCCAATAAAAATTAATTTAAAAATTAAAAAACAAGTAACTAGGATAAAAAGTAACGAGGATATAACAAAATTATTTCTGTACATCTCTTCCTAATTTGTATTTTAGTAAATTTTTAACTTTTTTATTGAACAGCTACTGTATGTAAGACTGATAGGAGCCTGTTGTTTCACTTTATATACTTTGAAGGGAATCTGCCTATTTCAGTGAAAGCATGTAAAATCGGGTTTAACTCTAGCCTACAACCTCAAAGTCAAAAAAGAGATTTGTTTCCAAGATTAACCAAAATGCATTTACTCAAGACTTTGTTTAAAAGGTCATGTTAAGAGGCTATCTAGTTTGTACTGACTTGTTGAAGTTGTTTCTGGTCATTGGAGAAATGGCAAAGCAAGAATTTCTTTTGAATTTTTTGGGGTTTTGTATCTGCATATTAAAAAGAAGTAAGGCATTGTTGAAGTGTCAGCTCAACTTTTTCTAAGCTTGATCATTAATGTGAAGTAAAAATAAATCCGTTAGAAATTTTAACCTGCCTTATAATGGTCTATTCTTTGTGGCTAATAAATTACTAAGTGATAGAATCTACTTTTATCTCCTAGTGGAAACGGCAACCCACTCCAGTGTTCTTGCCTGGAGAATCCCAGGGACGGCGGAGCCTGGTGGGCTGCCGTCTATGGGGTCACACAGAGTCGGACACGACTGAAGTGACTTAGCAGCAGCAGCAGCAGCAGCAGTAGCAGTCCTCTCTGCTGTCTTTATTTTTCTTTTGATGCTAATAAGAAATGGAACAGCCCAAAATAATAACAAGAAAGTAGAGACCCAAATAATACAGATTGGTTAACATATTACTGTGTTAAGCCACCTGTGTTGATGGTACTTAATCTTTTTAAAAACCTGTTGTTTTTAGGACAGTGCCAGGTGTATCACCACGTTTTTTCCACAGTTTGTTGCTATAGCGACATTGATTGTGGTGCTCACTTCTAAGAGGCAGCAGTGAAAGTTGTCAACCAACTGGATCAGGAACAATGCCTGCCTCACAGTAGTAGTTCAAGAAATAACATTGAATAAATGAGCGAATCCTTTTTTTTTTCTTTTGTTTTAACATTTGCTATTTTAAAGTAATGGCAGGGTAGTTTTAATGCCTTTCTACACTTTGGCAGTGTAAAGATTAAAAAAAAAAATCCAGGCATCTTTTTGTAAAAAATAGACTATTTAAAAAAATTTTGACACATATTTATTTGCTTATTTATTTGGCTGTGCCAGGTCTTAGCTGCAGCTTGCACTCTTAATTGCAGCATTTGGTATCTAATTCCCTGACCAGGGATGAACTGGGGACCCCTGCATTGGGAGCTTGGAGTCTTAGACACTAGACCACCAGGGAAGTCCCAATAGATTACTTTTTAGAGCAGTTTTAGTTTCACAGCAAAAATGAGCAGAAGGTCCAGAGGTTTCTCATATACTCCTTCCACACAAACACAGTCTAGACCATTTTTTGTTTTTTGGCCACCCAGGAGACCTGTGTGCGGAAGCGTGCATGCATGCTAAGTCAAGTCTCTGCAATGCTAGGGACTGTAGCCTACCAGGCTCCTCTGTCCATGGGATTCTCCAGGCAAGGGTACTGGGGTGGGTTGCCATTCCCACCTCCAGGGGATCTTCCCAGCCCAGGGATGGAACCCCTATCTCTTCCATCTCCTACATTGGCAGGCAGATTCTTTACCACTGCACCTCCTGGGAAACCCATAAGAACACTTTATAGTGTGTTAAAATTTTAACCTAGACAATACTGATTCTTTTTTTTAACATTG